CTTCTTCCCTGAAATCTCAGATTTATGTCTCAATGGGGTTTATTAATTTAATTGCCTTTTTCTAGACTTTGACTGAATTCTCCATCGCCCATTTGGGTGAACACCATGCGACCATATTTGAAGTCTGACGACTTCGTCAATTCCCTTACAAATGTAATAGAAGTGGAAAAAGGTCATCAATACAGTTTCCATCAGGAGGCAGCGCCTGGGATTATAATACGAGATGACTTTTAAAGTTTATTTCATCAACCTCCTGTTTGACCTTGAATAGAGAAAGGAGGACTTGAATTACGGTAACCTTCACTCATATTATTTTGCTAAATAAATTGTCTGTCCTAGACAGACTCCTTAATGCTTAAGTTCAGTTATGTATGTGTTGACCGCTTCACTTATTTGGGAAGTTGCATCAGCCAATGCCAACGGGTCGCTCGCTGACGAAATCTCAGCACGGATACAGAAGGCTCGTTTCACATATACCAGTTTACGCCGTCTCTGGCGTAGACGTGTTATCCGGCTATCAACCAAAGGGCGTGTGGTACTGCTCAGTAGTCCGCTCCGTCCTCCTTTATGGCTATGAGACATGGTCATTCAAAGTGGAAGATATGAAGAAGCTAGCTGTTTTTGATCATAGGTGCCTGCGTTCTATCTTCCATGTGAAATGGTATAGGAGGGTGTGCAATATTGAGGTTAGGAGTCGAGTGCTAGGTAAGGAGGGAAATCAATCAACGCGACTGTGAAGCTACATCGACTAAGATGGTTAGGACATGTGTTACGCATGCCTAGTCATAGCCTTCCTCGACGGGCAATGTTACCTGACATAGGGTCAGGTTGGAAAAGAGCTAGTGGTGGTCAAACCAAAACATGGCACCAGTGAATGAAATCTACAACAGTTATAGGTTTCCAGGCCGTAGGTGTTACGAACTTCCTGAAATAATTTGAGCGCCGAGTCAGATTGATTCATTATAAAAATCCGAATAAATCTGCTGAAGAAGCTGTGGCTTACACAGTGAAACGTTCAGAAAAACCTTGTTTTGATTTTCTTAACATGCTGGGATTAATTTAAATAATTTATAATCTACAACAGTTAGTTTAAGCCATGTAGGAAGGTACAGACTTCCTGTTTGGGGTCCTCGGGACGGTAAAAACCAATGGCTGGAGACAATTGGTGATATGGCTCAAAATCGCTCTCAATGGCGCAGATGCACCCACTCCTTGTGAGTTATAATTTCAAGTGAAACTATATTGTTCTTCATTATTACTATTCTTTTGTCGCATATCCCTATCTGCTTTCTCTCCTATGCATTTCTTCTCTTCCTTTGTGTGCTACATGGAGTGTGGCGACTTGAACTGCCGCACATATGTGCAAAGTTCTATGTTGAAAACAGACGGACAGAGTCATATATTTGTAGTGCTTTAAAAATTCAGCTTTTCTTTAATGTTAGTCCAGATTAGCATATATCTTTTAAAAACATGTCTTTAGTCCTAACTTAGTTACCCTTAGTGAATTTTTCATGGGCTAATCTAGGAGCCACAGTTACTGTGTGAGGGATGATTGTACTATTTAGTTGTTCAGACCGAGTAAGCAGACCGGCCTTCGAAACTGCGACGCAATGGCTGAAAGTCAACTGCTTGAGCTATATCTGCACATGTAATGGAACCATGGAGTTAACAATAATAAAGCCAGACATATGACCTTAAGTAGACAAGGTATATTGATTAAGTTTATAAATTTGAATAAACTGAAGCGACTGGGACATGTGTCACACTTATGCTAACTTAATGCTCCATTTTGGTTGTAGCGAAGCTAAGTGATAAAAGCCGAAAAACGGTTAGAACAAGACTTATTAATCCATGATGTCTGACTACTGGTCGGACAGATCTGGGTAGCCAGCAACAATAATTGAGAGTCAATAAATGGAAACTTTTGGTGATAAGACAGCAAATCGGACGTAGTAGCACAGGTGCACTTTGTCATAGGAATTTCAAATCTTCCCACCAACTGATTTTTCCTGTTTCGTACGTATATTTATTTAACATAATGAAGTTAGTTCAATCTTTGTTATTTTTCCCTCATGCACTCTTCCGAAGTATCTGTGTGAGACACTGATTTGGCCCATCATTTGATTTTTATTTCCCTCATACAATTTATATAGGTTAAAGCTACGCGGTATTTTATGAAATTGGTTGCTCGGTTTTGTCTTGGAAATATATATATATTCTGAAACAAGAGTATATTTAGTGACTTTGATCATAATCAGCTTTTTTGAGAAATACAACCTTTCAGTTACATATATATAGCAAGCTAATTAATACGGATTTTTTAGCTTCGACGCAAACTCGATATTTTTCACGGGCGCTAAAATTCGCATCAAAATGATAACATCCCAGATTAGAAATCCTACAGATTACTTAGAGCTTTAAACAATATACACAATCAAACGCAGGTTTTTTTTTCTGAAAACCTAAAGATGCAGTAATTTGAAAAGCTGCAGTAAATTACAGTCACAACCTAGAACACAACCTGATAATATCTTCAAACAAGAAATACAAGTGTACCGATAAAAACAATAATGCAAAAGACCAGTTAACAACCGACTGTACTAAGCAAAGTAGATTTAGACTTAAAAGACAGCCTAGGATCTAAGTACCTAAAACAAACGCTGGTCCTACAAATAAGTGCCTACTGTTAAATGTAACCATACAACTGCTTCTTTCCAATGTAATGCATATTCGAAATACCTAGAAAAGACAAGTATTATCGACATGATCGATCACGGTAAAATTCTATTCTACAGTTAACTCCAAGTTGGATTATTAGCATTAAAGTAAAAGAAGTCTTTCAATTACAATGTTACATTTAAAATGTATTCTAGTGTTATGTACAACAAAGATGATCTAACGACAAATAATATATTAATCAATAATTAATATCTGTTAGTACAATTCATATTTAATTACCTATATACATTTGATAAATTAGCTATATTCATTAAGCGACAATAAGAAACATGAAAAACGAAACGTAACACCATTGGAAGCAGTTATGTATATTTACAGAATGCAATAGTTGAAAATTGTTTTCATTATGAAAAGCCTAAAGATTGAGTTCAAAAAGCTCATAACTCTCTTGAAGGCAAAATAAGATTTCAAAATCAACTAATACAATTGGAAGACAATTCATCAATTAATGAATTCATTTCAGAAATGTGTAGTAAAGTGATAGAAAATTTTAAAAGGTAAAATTACTAGTCAGTGTTTCCAGTACTCACTGTTGGTTTGCAATTTTTCTTATCTGTTTCACTAGTTGGATTATCACTATCCGAAAATTCTAACCTGATTTCAGCCTTTTTTGGAGTCACATCGGTTTCAGACCTTTCAGAAGGTGCATCTGGAGAGACAGCAGATAATGAATGAATCCGTTTACATCTACGCTTCTCAATATTTTTATTGTTACCAACATACCTATATGATCCATGAATTCCACGTTTTCGCATCCACATTGGAGTAAATGATGAAACTGTTCTTCCCTGATGAAGATTAGGTGTGTTCGTATGCATTGTACTAGACTGTGCAGCATTTGATTCATCTGTCAATGATTTGGGTTTACTTTTAAGTCTATTCGGTGAAATTTGACTGAGCTTCGTATTGGATTTGCGATTCCAACTCAAGAATTTTGACAATCGGTTATTAGGCCTCACATTCTCATTAACTTCATTTGATTCATGTGAAAGATGTATTATGCTAGAGCCTTCTACTTCAACATGAACTAAGTATTCCAAACGAATAAGATATTCTTCATACAATTCACAATCATTATGGCCGGCTCCACGAATAAACAATGGTTCCAAAGTATTTGGAATTCGTTCATACAACCGTTGTGCATGCACTCGATCGATTATATCATCCTCGGTGCCATGAATGATCAATGTCGGGGAAATCACACGAGGAGCTCGTACATAGCTAGTAAATTCAAGGACATAAGTAATATTTAGTACAATTTCTTTCAACAAATAATGTAAGAAATAACAGTAAATCTGGACAAAAAGTAAGTTTACTTGAATACAAATGCTACTAAACTACTAAACCACTAATAAGTCCTCAACGGAAAATACCTCAAGATAAGACTCCTCAATACAGTAGCATTATCAAATACACAGAAGACTTTAAACTTTCTGTTGATATCACCACTAATACGTCCCTCTGGTTTGTAAAGAGACCTACTTTGTTCGACAGCCAATAAGCCTGAATTCCCTGCTAATTTAAAAACTACCTTTTGACATAAAGTATGTCCAATTAACTACACATAATCTTAAAGTCTACACTGAGATACAGTGTAATAGGTGACAATTGGAGAGGAAATAACGGTCGGAGAAGGTTAAAACATCAACTAAAAATTGAATATTTTCAATAATAAAACAGATTTACGAACGTTACTAATTCACTTCTGCAGCTGAAATATAAGAAAATAGTACATCTAAGAATATCTTAAGTGCGTTGGATTCAATTCAGACAGCGATAGAAATAAGAGTTTGGGATTTAGTTAACTAAAATAGATTCTGGTTTTCATATGCCACTGTTCGTGCCCCACTCATTTTTTGAAGGTTAGTTATAGTACCCAGTCACTCATAATGGAGAAGGTGGGGTGGGATTCGCACCATAAACTCGCTCACTCGCCTATAAGATATAAATTCATAAGAATAAAAACTGCTGACACTCTAAAGTCTGTCTAATTGGTAGCTTTATAAGATCCTTAAATTTTACGCAAGCGTCATTTAATTCACAAAGAAATGCTTCACACAATTAGTGTACACAGTAACTGCTGAAGATAGCCAAAGTGAACTAATATTCAGTATATTCTCAAAGTACATAATCAAATAAAACTGGCTACGTAATTAAAGAATACTCAAAAAGCATTTTGTTTCTACAAAAGTAAGCCAATAAAATTGGAAAACATTACTGTGAACTTGCTCAATGAAACGTGAATGACTTTGAAACTGATCTTAAAACGAATCATATGAGTTAGCAAGTGAAAATCTCCTAACATAAAATCCGAAAAATCCAGAATGTAGTTTAGCTTCCCGTTATAAGAACAGTTAACTAATAAACCATGAAGAATATGTGATATTTTAGAGATTTCAATACTACCAAGTCATCGAGGCTGAAGTATGTGGAGGTAGATTTGAACTCCGGTCCAATATGCTGTTCTAAAATGTTAAATTACAACTATTAGAAATAGTCGAAAAGTTATTGTACCCAGGTAATTTTGTGATTCCTGGTGGAACTGTGATGAGTAAGTTAAACCCAGAGTAAAATGTCATCATGGATCACATATAACACCATGATGTTAGTGTGACTGTGAAATGTCAGATTTGCAACGCTACTATACGCACATTCTTGCTTTGCGTTTGCAAAATCAAACCCCTCAGAATTGAGAAAGTACGACGACCCTTCATGTCCGGTCATCAGTATCTCCGTAGAACTGCTTCCATCCGATGGCATCACCGTGTACATAATTCTAAAGTCCAACAGCGTGTTTGGAGATGGTGGTCATTTTCCAACAAGTGTCCTTTTGGGACACTGATCCTGGTAGCTTTCACCCCATTCACTATTTCATAGCCCCAGGACTGAGTGGGAAAAGCGGAGACGTGGTCACCTCATGACACGGGGTGAAGGATGTGTTGGCTTGGCATCAGTTGATGCATCACGACTCCCTGGGCGGACATTTCGGGGCGTCATCCGACTCAATGACTCGAGACATTAATCCAATATGGCGATTTCCATCTCTTTTTAAAAGTAACACGGAGTGATGATATGGACAAGTCACCTTACTTGCTTTCATGACGCTACCTCTCAATTTTTCTAATTTTCTTTTGCTTATATTGTTGTTTTAGTAATTCTGTGTGTTTACCTCCCTGCACCGAAGCAAGTGTTTCAAATCAATAAAATATACTTTCATATTTGTAATGGTATATTAACAACCACACTATGGATGCACTGAAATGCCTTGACAAAACTAATCAGATGATTAAAAACTAAAATAGGATAAGCATTGAAAGCAACCTGTTGTGAAAATTTCACTAGTTTTAGCACCTATTTGATCACGTCTGTTGTTGGTAATGAACAACTATTAAGACGTCTACACTGGCTTTAGCACCTGACTTTCAGCCAACCAGTTTGTGGTGACAATCCCGCTCCACCAACTCCAGCAGACGTGACTGGGTAATAGTATGACTAGCCCTCAAAGAATGAATTTGATATATACTCTGGTACATGGAAGTCACAGAAGCTGTTTCAGACACTGTCCTAACTAACTTCGTTACGATTCGACAGCCAGAAGACTTACTGAGAACCAATGTACATAATTTTTCATTCAGTAAATTCACAGACGTTTTACGACGATGAAACGTGATAAATCCAGGAACAAAATTTACTCGGATCAACCATATATTCTATTAATTATTCAAAAACAGACACTAAAATAGGTCGTTTCACTTATTACTTAAACAGAAAAATAAAAAATCGTTGGTTATAAAGTAATTATTACTTTATAATTGAAATAATCAACAGTTCAAAGCATTGAAATATATATTCGGTACATATTATCTTTTTACAGTAAGCATCATATATAACCTAGTAGTGAAAAAATTCGATGGTGCTCAAACAACATTATTACATATACATGCAATAACTACAACAAGAGATCAAAAACAATAAATACATTTTATCTGGAACACAGAAAGAAGTAAGAATGTTTGTTATAGAGTACCGGTATTAAGAATTTCTAAGAAAAACAGACTGAGAAAGATAGTACAAATTAATAAAAAAAAATGGGATTCGGTAAAATATTATGACTGAATATATTGCAATATAGCTTTTTCGTGTACTGAAGATTTAAGAAAGACCCTAAGTTAGTGTAGGTACAGTTTCATTTATACATTTTGGTGAATCTTGTTTTAATACTGGATCATAAGTGTCCGATGTTAATTCTGATTCAGAATTACTACTCAGCATTGTACCTAAAAATGTGTAGTCAGAAATTTGACCAACTTTTTCAGAGGGAAAATCACGAGGTAATGTCCACATTTTTGTTGAAATATGTGGATTATTCTGATCAATTTCAGTCTCCAAAAGCCTTGATGTTAACTTTCGAGGTAGTGTATGTGTCTTGCCGTTCTTCTGACTATGGAGTGACCACAAAACTTCAGAAGATCGAAAGAAGTCCATATCGCCACTTGTTGGTGGTGGTGGTGGAGGAGGAGGAGGGAGTGTGAGGTCGTAAACATTCGAGGAAGTTGAATAAAGTTCATCGACTGATCCATCAGGATATTCCCTTGTAGGTAATGAACACTTGGAATAAGTCGTTTTTTCTTGTAACATTGATTCTTTAGTAACTTCAGTTTTTGGTGGACAATAGTCAGAGTTCTTCGGAAGTTCATTGTTAGTAAGAAGGGAAACGCTATTGTCATCAACAAACTCAGAACATTCATGTGATGATAGTGATGACACTGGGCTAGTTTTTCCAAAAGAATCATTGTTTTCATCAAGAGTTACTTCTTCGCAAACCTTAACAACACTCATTCTACTGGACTTCGAATTTGAAGCGACATTACGATCAGGGTGAGAAATAAATGACTTCGTTAACTTTTCTTCTTCTGCATCAATTGTATTACCATTTATGCTAAAATATCCATGAGAATTTAAAGAAACTGGTATAGAATCCGAATTTGATAAATCTGTCTCACTATCTCCTTTAGTTTTTCCTAGGAGTTTGGTTGATTCCGCAGTTGGAACTTTTACACTTTCTGAGCAATTAGAATTCAGCAACAACTGAGGCAATTCCACGGTAACCAATTTAGTTAGACGCAACAGATACTGAGGGAAAAGTTCGCAGTCATTATGTCCAGCCCCATCAATGAAAAGAGGATCCAACAATAAGTGACCTGCCAGAGCAGAACATATACGGTAACCATGAGTAACATTCACAACTTCATCACGTGTTCCATGAATCACAAGAGTAGGTGATATAATTTTTGGTGTGCGTGCAAGACTGTATCCAGGAATGAACGGCAGTTGGGTTTGAACAAAGCAGATAACATTAAGACAAAAAAAATGAACTACAGTAAATTAACTAGTAACAAATTCTGAAAGGTCATAAACTCTAATAACAGCCTATGCACCACTATACAAATGTAAAACATAAGTGTTTTCGTTTCCACTCACAAAAACCAATTAAAACTCATGAAATGGTTTGGTGAACTTAAAGTAAAGTGACTTCAAGATGAAAAAACAACATTATTTTGCCTCTCAAGGTAGACGGAAGCATGTCTGCAAAAATAATCAACAATCATTTGTGCAGCATCAGAATATGGGTATATCTGTTACTGACTACAATTAGTCGGTATTATACGCCTAACACAGAACATTTAAGACTCGACTAATTTTCGGTGGTAATTTACCAATCACTTAATACATTGCATTCCAACTGTGATAGAATATATGTAATAGAATGCATGTAATAGAGTAATAACAGTCCACTGGCAACGTGCAAGAACAACTGTTAACCGTTTTACAAAATACATGGTTTGAAACAATGAAATACCATATCACTAGAAGAAGTCAGACTAGATTTCAGATAGCATACCCAAAATATGGCTTAATGACATTATTTCCTGGCCATAAATTTTAAATACTATACCCATTTTTCTATGAATGGATAACTTTATCGCACAAATTCATACATATTGGATGACTGTTAACTAACTAATCACTGACGATAACGTGCGAAGACAGCCCACAAGCTGATGCTGAAATATTTTGCGACAAAAAGTATGATAACTAGTAGCTTAATGGAAAGTACAAGCATGTTAAAGGATAATATTTAGATTTAGTCGTTTGAGGAATTTCTTTTTAAATGCAAAGCTCAAGACATATGTGCATATGATACCTAAGGGGTCACGCAGGAGCATTATGCAAATTATTATTACTCTTAACCACGGAACACTTCGGCATGTCATTCAGATAGTAGAAGCACATCCCTAAGGGGCAACCCAAACTAACTCTTGAAATAGTACTGGGTACCATCAATAGTGGCAACATTTAGAGCAGATTAGATGTCGGAGTAACGACTTCCAGGTCTAATATCACTATCTGTGATCTGCGTAATGCCGAACACCCCCGAAATCCACAGTAACCACTGGCTCAAAATACCTGAACAGAGTATCTCTCTAGATAAGTACAGTAAGGAAACTGTCAGGTATGCTGAATTTTGCAAAAAACTGAAGGGAATGCCGTTCTAGTGTACAAAATCGCTACTGATGCAAGTGAAAGTTCTAGAACTACCACTTTAATGCAGCGCAAAATCAAAGAAAGACTAAATAGAGCACTTACTTAGAGAAAACGTCACAACAGTAGTTCCGTTTAAGTCTTGGGAAAGCCACCCTTAATCCAGACATTAACGGCGAGTGAAGTACAACAGCTGCAACTCGATGAAGGGTGGCCAAATGGATTGTTGGAACAGTCCCAATGCTTTGGCCATATAAAACGATTTGATTTAGAGGTACTGAGTATTTCGTCCGTAAAACATTCAGTGCACACTCAGCATCTGCGTACAAATTCTTTTCCAAAGGTTTTCCAGTGGATACACCATAGCCAGAATAATCATAGCACATTATGTTAACATTCAGCTTGCTCCCCAATTCATACATAAAGTGTAACATTAGTCCCAAGTCGACAGCATTTCCATGGCTCAACAAGAAAGTCAGTTTTGATGAAGAATTGATAGGCATATAAAGAATTGCAATTTCGTTTCCTCTTCTGGTGGTTGCTTTCATGGATTCCATATTCTCAGGTACGAAATGAATGAATGATTCCTTCAAGTATGATGCAAGTGTAAAGCTGTACGATGTTTTCCCCTCATCTATTTGTTCTGTCAGCTTATAGCTTGGGGGTGGTGGCATAAAAGCTAGCTTAGCTGCAATCTTGGATGGCAACGGAGGACAGCACAGCAGCTGACAAATACTATTGCAGCTTAGATCATTCATTATTATGCAGTACCGGTAATTAAACTTGTTGAAAATGTGAACAACTTTTATCTTGACAGTACCAAAGTAGACATAGTTGAACCGCAGTAAAAAGAAACTGACTTGGCGGAACTCAACGTGTTATAGCCCACACGCACCACCCTGATACACCAGCCAACCGGTGAAGAAAGAAATCAAGGAATACCGGGTGACCTTGAGGTCGACATTCCAAAGTCTCAAACTAGAAAAACTTAAGAGAGTATGTAGAGTAAATCAATATATAAAAAATTTGGTGAATTAGTTTAAAGTTGTGATATTAAGAATAAATGCTGCTTTGAAAAGCTTTATTCAAAGTTGATATGGAAGATGAACAGCACTTTATGATATGTAATGTGAACTAGTACAGTTCCTCGAACACACAAAAAATCTGTTTCTCTCCCCTCCTTGTCTATATCTATAGATAAGCATATGTGTTTGTGACTTCGTATTACAAACTGCAATGTCCACTTATTGCAAACGTTTATCGCGTAGTGGTAGATTATTATTATATTATTATTATTTCCTTTAATTCCTAGAGGAACATAGGGCTTCAGCCATGCGTCTCCATTGCGTTCGGTTCTCTGCTGTAGTTTTCACCTGGCTCCAAGTCTGCCCACACGCTTTCAATTCCTCTTCACATGATCTCCTCCAGGTCACCCTTGGACGACCAACTCGTCGCTTCCCTTTCGGGTTCCACTCGAGCAATGGCTTGTCTAGTGATGTCACTTGCTGGTTTCCTCAGAGTGTGTCCAATCCATCTCCATTTCTTCCTGCCTATTTGTTTCACGATCGGTTCCTGGTTGGTTCGCTCCCAGAGATCTTTGTTGCTGATCCTCTCCGGCCATTTGATCTTGAGTATTGAGCGAAGGCATTTGTTAATGAAGGTCTGTAGCTTGTTTGAGCTGCTCTTTGTGACACGCCAAGTCTCTGATCCGTATAGTAGTACTGACTTCACATTGGAGTTGAAAATACGGATCTTATTTTTGACGCTGAATGCTGTTGACCTCCACATAGACTTGAGAGAAATGAAAACTTGTCTTGCTTTCCCGATTCTGGCTTTGATATCCTCGTCAGTTCCTCCTGTAGTTGAGACGATGCTTCCCAGGTAGGTGAAAGAAGTTATTTCCTTCAGGTTCCTCCCATTTATGCTGATTGTTGTCGGTTGTTGCTGCTGACGTTGGCCAGGAATCTTCATTACCTCTGTTTTGTCTATGTTCACTTGAAGTCCTATCTTTGCTGCTTCTTCTGCCAATTTGTTGCTTTTCACTTGCATATCTTCCAGTTTGTGGGAAATCAGACATATATCATCGGCGAAATCCAAATCCTCCAAGGCTTTTGTGTCGGTCCATTTTATGCCTGTTCCCTCGTTGGTTGCCGTTGTCTGCCGCATTATCCAATCAACTGCAATCAGGAAGATCATTGGTGACAGTAGACAGCCTTGTCTCACTCCCGTCCTCACTTCGAAGGATTCCGTGAGCCTCCCGTTGTGGATTACTTGGCATGCAGCGTTGTCATACAGCTGTTGGATGAGATGTATAATTGTCGGCGGCACCCCGTAGTAGCGAAGTAGTTGCCAAATCACCTCTCGATCGACGCTGTCGAAGGCTTTCTCAAAATCGATGAAGTTGAGATAGAGAGGTGACTGCCATTCCAAACTTTGTTCAATGATAATCCGTAGGGTGGCGATTTGGTCAACGCATGACTTGTTCCTCCTGAATCCGGCCTGTTCCGGACGAAGTTTTTCATCTAGGGCTTGTTTAATTCTCTCCAGGATGATGCGACATAGTATCTTGCTTGGAATGGACAGAAGCATAATTCCACGCCAGTTTTTACATTGACTCAAATCTCCTTTCTTTGGCAGTTTGAATAAGTATCCGTTCTTCCAATCCTCGGGTACTTTGCCCTCTTTCCACACCTTCTCTAGTAGTGGCGTCATCAAGTCCGCTGTTGTGTCTGGGTCTATTTTCAAAGCTTCTGCTGGGATTCCATTTGGTCCTGGCGCTTTCCCAGCTTTTAGCATCTTGATGGCATTCAGAACTTCGGATTTCGTCGGAGGATCGATGTTCATTGGTAGTTCTGCTTCCGTTGTTGGTATTGTTGGACGCGTTGTAGGTGGCGGACGATTTAGAAGTCTTTTGAAGTGTTCAGCCCAGTGCTTCCTCTGTTCCACCTCTTTGGTGATTGACTTTCCATTGTCGTCCTTTATTGGCTTAATCTGTGTCGAACTTTTGCCCGAAAGGTGCCTAGTTGTTTGGTATAGTGTAGCGAGGTCTCCTTTGCCTGCAGCTTGTTCTGCTTCGTTTGCCATGGTTTCACAATATTTTCTTTTGTCTTTCCTGGCACTTTTCTTCACTCTTTTGTTCAGTGCATTGTAGCTTGCATTCAACTCCTGTTTCTGTTGCTCGTCGGTGCACTGGATAATCTTTTGTTTCGCCACCCTTCTCTCTTCTATTAGTTTCCAAGTGTCCGTAGAGAGCCACTGTTTGTCCTGTCTCTTTTTTCTGTCTAGGACTTCCATGCAGGTTTGACTCCACACCGTTTTCAATTTGTTCCAGTGCTTTTCGACGCTGACCTTTTCGTTGGTGTTGATTTGTGTCTCGGCTTTTTCCCTCATGTTTGCAATGAAGATGTCCTTTGTAGCCTGGTCCTTCAGCTTTTGAGTGTTGAACTTGGCTTGTGGTCTATCTGCAGCTCCTGTTTCCCTGAAAGCTTTTAATTTGATTTGGATTGTCCCTTGTACGAGGTAGTGGTCTGAGCCAACGTCTGCTCCTCTTCTTGCTCTTGTGTCCAGTAGGCTGCGTCTCCACTTCCTCGATATTGTGATAAAGTCAATTTGGTTTTTGGTTCGCCCGTCTGGTGACACCCATGTAGCCTTGTGGATATCTCTGTGCTTGTAAACACTGCCACCAATCACTAGTTCGTTGAAGGCGCAGAAGTCGGCGAAGAGTTCTCCGTTTTCATTCATTTCTCCAAGAGCTTCTCTACCCATGATGAGTTCTCTTCCTGTATTGTCTGGTCCCAGTTTGGCGTTCATATCTCCCATTAGTATTTTAATGTCGCCAGCTGGAGTATTGTCTATTGCTGCCTGTAGTTGTCTGTAAAATTCCTCTTTCGTTTCGAGGTCTGCGTTGTTGGTGGGTGCATAACATTGGATTATTGACACTTTTCTTCCTTTGGAGTTGAATCTGGCGGTCATTATCCTGGACGAGATCGCTTCCCATTGCATCAGGGCTTGGTAGATAATTCCCCAGAATTATTAGCCCCGGCATCCATCACTGACTATTGGACGCTGACCCTAACTGTTTGAGCCGACCTGTTAATTTGAAGGCTTACGGTCAAGCATCCATGCCATTTGGCACGCCATCATGATACGTTCGTTTGTTCGTGTACGATCCCTAGTAAGTTAGGCAATCATCTCGCACTCCGATTTGGTCCCAAAATATATGTCGTAATTTGAGCGATCAATTTTGGTGTTTTGCTTTGCCTTTGGACTGAGCGGAACGAATACTATGGAAGTCGTGGGTATTAGATTTTGCGCTGGTACTAATCTTACTATTCGTGAACGTCAACACCCTCAGCCTTTAAACTGGTGAGCCACGAAATTCATCTTTGGTGAATACGCAAACAAATCCGGTGAATTCGTTCCATTTTGTAGTTGTTCTTGTATTATTTTTAAACTATATATGTAGCCATGAGTGGTCATACGCCTGAGGTCATCCATATCTGACCAACTAGCAACACTGTTCAGCTCGTGCCATTTTAGCCAAATAATGTAGAATCATGGTTTGAGGTGGCCGAGTCTAAATTCAGTGAATATGGGATCACTGGTCAATGTTCACAGTTCCTAGCAGTTATCCATGCTCTACCACCGGAATTATGCAGATGAGTAACTGTGTATGTGCCAAGCCCAGAGGCAGGTAACCCGCGTGAGGTTCTTAAAGCAACTCTTCCAAAGAGAAACTATTTCAAGGATCGACAGCGTCTTGACGAACTATTTCACAATGTCGAATTGGGCTATCGATCGGCTGTGAACATGCTAACACGAATGCGGGAAGTTATTGACCGACGTCATTTCGATGAGGAACTCACTAGAGAGCTGTTCTTATGTAAATTGCCACAGCCAGTACAGACTGTGGTCGTGACGCTTCAAGGTGTTATTTTAGACTACTCCTGCCGATAAAATTCTAGAAATAACAAAACGGCCAGTCACTGAAATGTGTTTAATTACTGAACAGACTTCGAGTAGGGACACTGCAGTGGTAAAGTTATGCAAATCCGTCCATCAGCTACTTAGGTCAAATAATCCCCCCTACCGTCCACCAAATTCATCTCAGCGGTGAAGACAACGTGGTCGGTCAAAATCCAAGCCACCTGACTCCTGTTGATGTTACGATACTTATGGAGAGGAAGCGGAATGCTGAAGAAAACCAAGTAATTTCGTCAACGATTCGAAGACTATGGGAAACTATCCCGCCTGCATGCGTTAGCGGGGACCGTCGCCAGTGGTACTAGTTGCCAACTATACATCCACGATTTAGTCAGCCAGACGTGGTACTTGGTGAACACAGGCGCCGAAGTCAGAGTCCTTCCTGCTACAGCAGCAGATCGACAGCAGAAACCTGCCTTCAATTCACAGGCTGCGAATGGAAAACTTATCGCAACCTTTGGCAGGAAATATGTCTACCTGAACACAGGTCTACGCAAACCTATTAAGTGGATTTTCTTTCTCTCTGACGTCACAATGCCTATCATTAGAGCAGATCTACTTAACTATCAAGATTTACCGGTAGATGTCCGCCGAAAACGATTGATAGACGGTGCCACTAGGCTGTCTATTGTAGGTATCACTTACGTAGATCATAGCTTGTCAATGGTTAAGAAGGTGATGGCTGATCCAACTTTTCGGCCGATTGTTGACAAATACCCAGAACTTAATTTCCCGTGAGATCAGAAGCACGACGACTTGCTCCTGACAAACTACGACTGGAGAGAAATTAATTTGATCATATGCTTACTCTTGGTATCATTCGGCCCTCGAATAGCTCTTGGTGATCCCCACTCCATATGGTGCTAAAAAAGATAGTAACGATTACCAACCCAGTGGTGATTACCGGATACTGAACGCCGAAACGCCCTCTGAATAATATCCATTGCCTCAGATACATGAAATGACGACAACATTATCTTGTGCAACTATTTTCTCGAAAATGGATTTGGTTAAAGCGCACAACCAAATCCCGATGGCACTAGAAGGCATTCCGAGGACGGCTATCGTTGCACCATTTGGACTGTGTTGAATTTCCACGCATGCCATCCGGCCTCCAGAATGCAGCACAAACATTCCAACGTTTCATTGACGGAGTATTTCGCGGTCTCGACTTTTTATACAC